ATATCCACACATGTAGGACACCCAACATTAGTGGTCATTTACCCTTCCAAAGCCAATACACTTTTGCACACTGGTACTGACTAGTATTCCAATGTTTCTCCTCTCCCTCAGTTTTTATCCATCACTGAGCTAATGTGACCCAGCACTGATGGAGAGGGGAAGGAGAGGGTCAAACTAGGATGCTGTGCAGGCAGGCAGCTGACATCCTCCTTATCAGCTGATGATGTCATTGGTTGTCAGGATGCCCATGGCTAGAAGGTCGTAATGGCGCACAATGGAAACCTGGGGCTTTGTGTAACTAGAAGGCAGGCTTGTTCCACCCGCTGGCTTGTATACAAGTTTTGGGCAATTTTTAGACATTTTTCCAAGGTACCCCTGAAGAAACCTTAAGGCACCCCAGGGAGCCTGGGCACCCTGGTTGAGAAAGGCTGATATAGAAATCTGAGGTCCACACTCATCCTGTTATCTCTTGTATTTAACAGAATTATCATTCGTAATTCAAAGGCTTTCCTTTCTTGAGTATTTTTTTCAAAAGTTTCCTTAAGGAACCAAAACACTCTTCCAGAGAGTCACCCTATTATGAGAACTGATATCCCACACGTGTGCTGTAATCACCTTCCTTATGTTCTTTTTATGGTGTGTCTATGTAGATGTATTATCATTTTTTTTAATTCCTGTCTTGTTTCACAAATGTGACATCTCTGGTTGCACTGGTTGCTTTGAATGACATATGGCACATTGGTGGTGTTGCAGCTGTATTATCCAATAATGTTGGGTTCCTTTTCTGTGTGAGACTTTTTTTTAGTGGGGAGTCCCCAAGGACTGTGCTCCTTTTTTTTTAACCTTAAACCAAAACTCCAGTTAAATTTTTTATTTTCTGTACCCGCACTGAATGGGTTAACTTCTCGTTTTGTCCAGGGGCTCAGGGTAAAATTATACTTATCCCATCCTCTGAAAACCATGCTCCCCCATGTCCAGCGGTGAACTGTTCCTGCCGTCCTCACGTCTGGAGCCAGTCTACGGGCGTGATGACGTCAGGAACAGCCTTGTCACAAGACCGCTAGTGTGTGGGGGGGGCAGGAGTGGCGGGGACTGATCTTGTGCTCGGACGATCGGCAGATTAGGTAAGTATATCTCCAGTTTTCTGCACCCCTAGACCAGGGGTGCTCAGCCTGTGGCCTGTGGGACACATGTGGCCCTTGGAGCCTTCTTATGTGACCCTCCACCTCAAACTGAATTCAGGAGTTTTGGTGCACTTTCAGAAGATATCATAGAAGTCTATGGCAAAAAGCAGCTAACCCTCAGGAAAGCCACAGATGCACTGGGCTGTATCCACGGTGCGGGTAAACCGCAGCACATCAGTTTGAAAGATGCCTTGTAGTGTGCTCAGGACAGTAAGGACTCATTGGGGGGCAGTAAAACCCCATAGTTGAGACATCAGGGGTGTAGTGCCAGAGGTTCGCAATAGCAATCCCCACCCCATGCTACAGGGGGCCCGTGCGGCCTCCCTGTCACATTTTTTTTTTTTTTACTGAACTGGAGGGGAGGTGGGGGTGGCATATACAGGAACTGATCCTCTCCATGTTCTCCTTGCAAGCGCAGAAACCCAGTTTCTCCTTTTCGTTCTCCCGCTAGCATTCAGCGGCTGCTGTTCAAAATACAAAATTCTGAACCATTTAATTTCATTGTGGCCTGCTTTACAAATAATATAAGTGGCCCTCGCTCCTCAAAAGGTTGAGCACATATGCCCTAGACCACTGGTCTTCAAACTGTTGCCCGGGGACTGGATGTGGCCTTTGCTTGCCTTTATCTGGCCCCTGGGGCACTATTCCACCAACTGACACCAATAATGCAGCACCTTTCCCCCTACTGACACCGTCATTGGGGTACTATTCTTTTCATTTATATCAACAATGCGGCACTATTCCTCCCATTGAAACCAGTGATGGGGCACTGATTGTATTCCCACTGGCCACAGTTTGGCCCTCCTAAAGCCTAGAGGACAGTAAACTGGCCCTTTGCTTAGAAAGTTTGGAGATTCCTGTTCTAGACAAAAATGAGCATTTAACCCATGCAGTGCAGACACAGCCCCACTGCATGGGAAAATAAAATATTTGCCCAACATTCTTCTTTAATGCATTCTCTTCATTAAGGCGGAACTCCAACCAAAAGGGAAAGTTCTGCTTTAAAGACTGGTCCTCCGCTCCCCATTAAGGATTGGCACCTTTGGGGAGTAGGGGGGAGCAAGTACTGGAAATTGACAGGTACCCGTTCCCACTTCCCTTGCGATCACCTAGGCAATTGGAAGCGGAAGTTGTCCACCTACCCTCCCTCCCCGTAGTCTTGTGGGACATGTGACAGGTCCCAGAAGACTACAGGACCAATCATGAAGTGCAGCGCTACTTGTGCATGCGCAGTTGGCACCCGGCTGTGAAGCCGCAAGCTGTCATAGCCGGGTGCCCATGCTGAAGATGCCGGCGCCTGGAACACCAGACAGAAGGTGAAACGGGCTGCGGGGGACACACCACGGGACCGAGGGACAGGTAAGTGGCTGTTTTTTAAAAGTCAGTAGCTACAGTTTTTGTAGCTGTTGACTTTTATTTTTTGACAGGGTGAGTGGAACTCCGCTTTAAGGTAAAAAACCTTTCTTTAAGCAGCCCTCCCCCCCAGCCCCTCTAAATACTTTCTTGAGCCGGATCTTGATCCAGCAATGTGCACAAGAGCAGAGGTTCTTTTGGCTCCATCCCTCCTGCTGCTGTCAGTCACAGCCAGTGAGGAGGGGCGGGGCCAAGCCACTCTCCTTGTGTCTTATGGACACACAGAGCCAGCACGGGAGCGAGCACACACGAGTGCCCTTAAAGCAAACAACTTGCTATGGGGGCCACTTAGCAGGCGGGAAGAGCCAGGTACACCAGAGGGGGGACCTGAAAAGATTAGGATCTGGGCTGCTCTGTGTAAAAGCTGTGCACAGAGCAGGTAAGTATAGCATGTTTGTTATTTTTTTTTTAATAAAATGTAATTCTTTACAATCTTTAAAAGTGGACTTTCAGATTCCAATAAGCCCTGCGCCTGTAGAACCCCACAACCACCGGCCAGGGTTGTGGGGAAGAGGCCCTTGTGCTCATCAGCACAGAGGCAAGGTGCATTGGTAGGGGGGGGTCCTGCCTATCAAGGCACCCCCCTTCCCATGTTGAGGGCAGGTGGCCTGGAGTGGTTTAGCAGGGTAGGATGGTTTGCTGCTTTGGAATAAAAAACTGAAAATTGAATTAGACAAGGCTTGTATGGCACAAGTCTGGCCAGGGGCGTCCCTAGGGTCGGTGTCACCCGGTGTGATAACACTTGGTTACACCCCCTCCGACGATCCCCATAGAATGGATCGGATCTGCATATTGAGCATAATGGATCAGACTCCGATCCATTATGCTCCCCAATCCACAGATCTGATCCATCCTGCGGGGATCGTCGGCATACAACCTATACTGGGTGACACCGGACCCGCTCCTCGAAAAGGTAAGTTGTAAAGAAACCCAACGATCCCCGCAGGATCGTCGGCCCTGCTTTACAACTTACCTTTTTGTGGTGCAGGTCTGGTGTCATCCCGTGCAGTATGTGTCACCCGGTGCGGCACGCACCCCCCCCGTACCTACCTCGTGATGCCACCAGTGCATGGAACCTATACTGGGTGACACCGGACCCGCTCCTCGAAAAAAGGTAAGTTGTAAAGAAACCCAACGATCCCCGCAGGATCGTCGGCCTGCTTTACAACTTACTTTTTTGTGGTGCAGGTCCGGTGTCATCCCGTGCAGTAAGTGTCACCAGGTGCGGCACGCACCACCCGTACCTGCCTCGGGACGCCACCAGTTATTATTAGCTATAATTCCGTTTAGCGGACAGATAATTAAAAATGTGATATAGTGTGTATTAGTTGGAGGAAGTATTTTTAATTCACACTGAGACTAAAAATCTTTTTTAAAGACCAACTCCAGTTTATTTTTTCAAAGCAGTGAAAAAAAAAAAAAAAAAAACCCTGGCTGCAATACTCATCTCCTCTCGGGCACTGTATTCTGCTCTAATTATTTCCACCACTAGATGTCCTCACTCTCCTGAGCTGAATGACCATCATGAGAAGCCTAGGGGGCTGGTTCACACCAGAACGCGATGTGGGAAATGCGCGTTCCCTGCTCCGCGCTCAAAAACACAATGCCTTTTCGATCTGCTGCAGGTGCCATTGTAATGTTAGAAAAGCAGATTGCAAATACAGTGTGTTTGCGGCCACCAAATCGCATGGTAATGCAGTACCATGCAATTTGGTGTGGCACATTTTTTTTTAACGTAACGTAGTGCATGCACTACATTCTCCGTGTTCTGGTTCAATGTCAGCCCATTCAAATAAATGGGCTGCAATATCGCACCACATGGGAATGCGTTCCCGTGCGATCCTGGTGTGAACGGGCCCGAAGGTCATCTTATGTTCACCATGACACCCCGCACACACAGTGTCATAATGCATGGATTGACAATCTCAACATCAACATTGACAATCTCAATCATCAATGAGGCATAAAGGACATGTCACGTGACTGGCCTGAAGACATCTGAATAAAGGTAAGTATAGAAAAAACAAATAATAAAATATACTCAAAGTTCTCAGTTGTGCATTAAAATGTATTAGCATAGGTATGTATTATTCACAAAATACAAATGCTGGCAATTTATCTTTCTTGTTAAAGGCCTTGACACCTGCTGGCAATCTATTTTGAAGCATCACTCAGCACAGATTGAATGGGCACAATACTGTTCATTATGGCATTCACGGGAGCTTCAGATTTTTTTTTTAACAATCATATTTTTACGGTATTACAAGGACTTTTCTAAATGGCATTCCACAGAATTTTGTTGCTTCTATTATGCATTTCAGGAATGTGACACATGCTAAGTTAAGTTTGTACGTAATATTTTATTGACAGGCTTGTGAAAGGGATCTTCAGTGCGGAGGAGAGATGTGTTGCGCAGTGAGCCTTTGGATACGAGGCCTTCGTATGTGCACTCCACTTGGCAATGAGGGTGAAGACTGTCATCCACTGAGTCATAAAGTAAGTCCTTGCTGATAATAACTGTTACTAATTCTGCATATTTGGAGTTTCAGAACTCCAAATTTCTAGTCTGCTGTTCCCTGCGCAAAACAGAATTTAGGAAGGGTGCCAAACATCTGTATTTCTTTTCTCATATTCATCCTTTTGAATTTATGGCAAACTGAATATTACGATCGGCTTTTGTAGGCAGCCACACCAATCGATTAGGTTGATTGAAGTGTTATCATAGTAGAATTAAAGGTTCAACTTTTTCCTGACGCCAACATTAGAATAAATGTGGTACAGCTTACACAGAGATGGCAGCCAACACGACAGGCCTGCAGAAGTCAATAGAGTCACAAGCCCTGGAACAGATAAAATCGAAATATACTTTATCCACTTCCCGTCCTGCCCATTTACATAAACGGCCGGATGGGAGCAGTGCAGGAGCGGGTGGCCGTTTATAAAAACGGCCCCCGCATTTACTGCCTGTGCGTGCTCACCGCGATCCAGTGCCCGCTTAGCCAAGCAGTGATCAAATGAATAGTAGCAAGCAATGATGTCACTTTCTGACATCATTGCTTACTACTTGTGAAATCTGTGAATGATCACAGAGGTCACATGGTACAAGCAGTGGTGTATTTAGGTTTTGGCATGCCCTAGGCAAAGTGCCCCCCCCAGCCTGACATTGACCAAGAACACCCCTGCCCTCCACCCAAGCCTTCCACTACCACTGCCCCCATACACCAGCCACCATCCCCATGGCGAGAGAGAGAAAGACACTCACCTTCACAGCTCCGGAAATCCCCAGAAAGGAGAGTCAGGCTGTGTATACACCGTCATGAAACCCGCAGCATCTCTGAGAACCCACCAGTTCCCCATGCCGCGTGTATCCCTTCTTCCAAGGGGCAGTGCTGCCCTCCTGAAAAATGCCGCCCTAGGCAATTGCCTTGTTTGCCATGTAGTAAATACACCCCTGGGTACAAGGCTATTCACAACAGCCTTGTATCATGTGACAAGCTGTGACCAATCACAGCTCTCACAGTATTTCTCAATGGCTGCAACAATGCAGCCAGAGAGAAGGAGAATGATTGCTTTTACAGCCTTTATGGGTGTAAAAGCAATCAGTGTAAAAAAAAAAATATTCATCACCCCCCACAAGTAGTGACAGTATGTAAAAAAAAAACATAAATAATATTATAATAAAATAAAATGAAAATGTAAAAATATTTTTATCAGTTATAAACTAATTTGGATTATTATTTTTACTAAAAAGATAGCTGAATACATTTTGGCCAAGATATTTGAAGAAAGATTATTTATTTGCAAAATTTTATAAGAAAAACACTTTTTTTTTCAAACTGGACTTTTTAATCTAATAGCAAAAAAAAATAAAAATCCCAGAGGTGAATAAATACCACCAAAATAAAGTTTTATCTGTCTCAAAAAAATGCAAAAAAATTAATATGGGTACAGTGTTGCATGACCGCGCAATTCAAAGTGTGATAGCACTGAAAGCTGAAAATTGGTCCGGACAGGAAGGGGGTGAAAGTGTCTGGACTTGAAGTGGTTAATGTTGGGTTAAAATGATCTGAGGAAGGGGCAAGTCCCTGAAATATGTTCTCAAGATTATGGGCTTCTCTCCTTGGTTTGAGTGCTCCCCTAGGCTTCCAAGTTTGCCCTCACCAGCCCTTGTTCAGGTGGTCCTTTGACAGGTCTATGACATTACATCTGGATCTGGGACATGTGACTTCCAGCAGACGCACCATCTCAGTGATCCCAGTGGCTGCCATCCACACACCCCTCCCTCTGTCCTGAGGCTCCTGGTCTGAGCAAGCTACTGTTGAGTCTAGGATTATGTGTCATCCTCCACCTTCTGGGAATATTCCCAGAGAGTTTCTCCTTTCCTCAGGCTTGGTGATGTATCAATCTGGGCACTCCTACATGTCATGCTTTTTATCCCAACATTAAAGTGTATTTCGATTTTATCTGTTCCTGGGCTTGTGACTCTATTGATTTCCACAGGGTTGGGAGTGCTTCTCTATTTGTGGTTTTGTGCTCATTGCTGGTCAGATGAGTTGGAGCGGCCCATACTGTGGTTATCTACATATCGCCTGGTACCTCATTGCGCTTGGTATTTGCACCTGAGGCTGGACAGCCAATCAGGTCCTCTTATGGCACATTCTTTCAGCACTACAGATAGGCTTAGTAGTCTTCACTACAGCTGTCTTTGGCTGGAAACAGTAATTTACTCACTTATAAGATATGATTTGCTTAAAGAGGAACTACACTGTATCACTTTTAACCACTTCCAGACCGGACACTTTTACCCCCTTCCTGACCAGGGCAATTTTCAGCTTTTAGCGCTATCACACTTTGAATGACAATTGCGCGGTCATGCAACACTGTACCCAAATGAATTTTTTACCATTTTTTTGAGATAGATAAAGCTTTATTTTGGTGGTATTTATTCACCACTGGGATTTGTATTTTTTTTGCTATGTAAATGAAATGTCCAAAAATTTTGAAAAAAGGTGTTCATCATAAATCTTAGCCAAAATTTATTCCGTTATCTTTTTAGTAAAAAAAAAAAAAAATCCAAATTAGTTTATAAGCAAAAATTATAATTTTTAAACATTTTTTTTACATTTTTATTTTATTTTTTTATATTATTATTTTTTATTTTTATTTTTTACATACTGTCACCCTAGCAGTACAGTGTCACCATGGTGACACTGTACTACTTGTGAGGGGTGATGAAGATTTTTTTTTTTTTTTTTTTTACACTCATTGCTTTTACACCCATATAGGGTGTAAAAGCAATCATTTCTCTTTCTCTCTGTGTGCATTCTTGCACTCATTGAGAAGAACTGAGTGAGCTGTGATTGGTCACAGCTTGTCACATGGTACAAGGCTTTTGTGAATAGCCTTGTACCATGTGACCTCTGTGATCATTCACAGATTTCACACATAGTAAGCAATGATGTCAGAAGTGACATCTTGCTTACTACTTTGCATGTGATCACTGATTGGCCAATCAGTGATCACATGATCGGGACCTCGTACAGAGGTCCCGTCCGACGATCGGTGTTTCACTGTGTCCGGAGGACACAGCGGGCACCGGATCACGTTGCTGCGTGCTCCCAGGGAGCGCGCACAAGCAGGGTGCGGGGAGGCCGTTTATAGATGGCCACCCGACCCTGCAGTGCCATATATACAACGGCCGGTCGGGAAGTGGTTAATATTCAAAGCAAACTCCCCCTTAGATCCATGTCTCCATGCTTTATTTTGCTGAGAAATCACCCCCTGGCATTTCTGGAAGGGGCCATCTTGAGTAAGAGCAGATGATTCATGTATCATTTACTTCCCGGAATCCATCTGCCCTTTACTCAGTCATTGGCTGAGCTGAGAACCCTCCCCTCCTGAAGACTGCTGGGATGTATGACATCATTGGCCTAGGCATGCAAATCAGGAAGTAATTGAAGAAATGTAAAAAAAAAGTTTAAAACAAGTAAATATGATATACTTTCTTATCTATTTACTAATGATAGCAGCATAAAGATTAAATATAGTCCATGTTGATTGAGAAGTTCCGCTTTAAGCAAAGTAATCCATAATGGAATTAAGCCGATACTCTGCACAATCCATAAAACTGAAAATCTTTATTGGCTACATGTAAAAACACATTAATAATATGCTAACATGTTTCGGCTATAGCAGCCTTCCTCAGAGCACATGCTATAGCCGAAACATGTGTTTTTTACATGTAGCCAATAAAGATTTTTGGTGTTATGGATTGCAAGAAGTGACGGTTTAATTCCATTATGGATTAAAATGCTCCTATGTGACCGCTCTTCACCAGCGCTGTAACTGAGCTGCACATGCGCAGCTTAGCTTACAGCCCCAGGACGGTCTCTGAGAGCTGGGATGACAGCCTCCTGCGCGTATGCAGAGGTGACGTCATCTACCATTGGCCAATGAAGAGGCCCAAAGAATGGGCTGTCGAACAGGTGTGTATCAAGCGTTTTGTTCTGCCTATAGCCTGATCACATTATTAGAAACCATTTTTGTCAAAGTGGACACAAGCTATCAGCTGGGATTGAGAGCTACCAACCACACAAAGTGTTGGCTGCTGACTCTCAAATTGGGCGTGTTTAAAATTGTATCCTCTATGCTGGAGAACATTTCTATACAGATTGTGGATGGTAAGGGGTTAAAGGAGAAGCAGAAACTGTATCCCTAACTGAAATGTTTTTTTTTTCTTTAGGTTCCATATTCTGGCAAAAGAATGGTTCACACATGTCCATGCATGCCCGACCTAGCCTGTACGAAGGTGGACGATGGCAGATACCAGTGCTTGCCATACCTAAAAGGCAAAAATTATTATTATTAGAAGATTTCGACAAAAGCTTTCGTGAAGGATTAATTTATGCTCTCAGATTGTATTCTTGAAACATTTTTTGAAGCTAAATTCCAAAAAGCTGCAATTATTAGCTCTCGTTGTCCTAGGCTTCCAATCAGAAATTCTGTTTTATTTTTATTTTTCCATAACATTTGACCCTCAGGATGGAAAACTATCCAAATAGCACCACATCCCATTAGAGAACAAAAATACTAAACACAAAACACTCCTGGGTTCCACAACATGTTTTGTATACGGGATGGTTATGACATACTAAACTAACGAAGCTCTAGAATTGTGAGAGTTGATGCACAGAGGCAAAACATATACTCTGTTGTATAGATGTTACATGACACTGGTTGCCAATTTACTTTTATTCTACTTTTTATTTAATATTTTAATTCTTTGTATGAAATAAAAATTGTGAAGATGTTTTATCTATAATGTTGTGCTATTATTAAGGTGTGGCACCTTGAAAATTCCAACATTTTGTGTTTAGTATCATTTTTTAAAATTATTTACTAGCGACGTGAAAGGGAGTATCTGATTTGTAATTGGACAATTGAATCAAAAGCTGTTTCATGGCCAGGTGTGGGCTACTTCTTCGTTATTTCTTCATCAATTAAGCGGCGTG